TATTATTGTCGAGGGCATTTCCGAGAAGTCCAGCAGCCAGACGGCCATTAAGAAGGCTCAGGAGAAGACCATCAACAACACCAGGGGCTCCAGATGGGCCACCGATCAGACCTGAAGATGATCATGTATTTCTCTCTCTACCCCCTAACTACTTACCATCGAGAAGCGGATTTCCGTTGGCTCCAAGAAGATGTCCGAGAAGACCTCCATTTCCAGCCAACCACGTGTCAAGGCTAAAGGATACTGTAGCTAGAGCATTCTTTAGTATTCTTACGTGGGAAGGATATCAAAGACACTGCAGAGAAGATCAGACACCTCTCCAAGAAGTCCCTGGTTGACCTTGTCGAGAAGTGGCTCGGCAGTCTGGAGGATTTGAAGGCACAGATTCGTGAAAAGAGCGCTCTTTCCAGCCAGAACACCTAGAAAAGGATGGATTGTTGGTAGATGATCATACCAGAGATGAGGTACTCAGCATCAACATTGAGCACGAGTCCACAGGGGCCATTTGGCACAATCATCAGAGAGGGGATCTCGAGGGTTCCCTTCAGAATATCAAGATGTTCCAGGGTGTAAGCATCAACAGTTTGTCCTCCAATGGTAGTGGTTGTCTTGTTGAGGATACGCAGTTTGGAGACTGAAATAGAAAAGACATTTGAGTGGAAGGGAGTACGACTCACTCCAATCAACAGCACAAGCCAGTGCCTTGATGTCTCCGATTGGGTTGGGGCATTGGAGGCAGTCAGTGGCGGCTTGCTCGTTTGAGCCGAGGCTCAGTTGGGCTACGGTAGCCGAAGCGAGGAGGCACAGGGTGGCGATGCGGACCGTGTACGACATCTTGCTAAATGGGGTGACTAGGTTTCTAAGGGTATTTAGAACAGCCGAAAGGTTTCGAACAAAATTTGAAAAATCCGTTTTCGACCTTGTGACTATTACAGGCCCCCTAAAAATTGCGCCTTTCAGCTGCAATAGGCGAAATTTGGTTATTTGAGGCTATAGCAAAAGGTATTTAGAGAATTTTGAACTAACACCATGAACCACTAATGCCTAAGATACTTTGCTGGTAAGAATATCTAGGGGACTTTTGAAATTGTCTAAAAGAGGATCCTACGAGGCATGGTACTGTGGCTATTAAAAGAAGGTTTTTAATTCGAGCTACAGTAACCTGTTGCAACGAGACAAAAAGCTTACTGAAGTGGAAAGAGTAGATAAAAAGCTCGAAGCTGATGCTGACCGTCTGAAACCCTAGGGTTTTATACTTTGCCTAAACAATGGTATCGGTGTTGTGCTCGCCACTTTCAGCAAAACAATTCATACGTTCTTCCATGTTCGACCTACGAGACCAGCGCCCATGGGTCCTAAAATTAAAATTTACAACAATGCAAAGTCCAGGCAAACACGTTCCAGCGGCTAGCTTTTCAAAAATACCCACGGTTCGGCTGACCACATGGCTCAGGATGAACGGTAGCCAACGGGCCCAGCGGGGCGCCAAAAAAATATTTTAGCCCGGGTTCGACTAGACGGGTCGTTTGTTTTGGCACGACTATTGGGTTCGAAAACATGGTATTGTAATGGCGCTTGCGAGATTGGTTTTGGCCGTTCGAACTCGATATAAAAGCAGTGGGTTTCAGATGGTCAGCATCAGCCCTACTCTTTCCAGTCCAGTAAGTTTCTTTCGACTTCCAATTTAAGTTAGCTCGGTTAGGCAAAATCAAAAAAATTCGGCTTTCACGTTCTACAGTACTTTCGCTCCGGAAACTTGTAGCTTTAGATGTATCCTCTAGTTTCTCTAACTTTCAAATTTCCTGACAGGGTTGTTTAGCAACGCGGCACAAAACTGTACTCTTGACTATAGCTTTGGTGTTCAACTAATTCTGCTTAATCAAGCTGATTACACAACTAAATGCCATTACAACAACCTACCCTTCAGCAAGATGTCGTACACGATTCGCATCGCCACCCTGTGTCTCCTTGCTTCGGCTACCGTAGCCCAACTGAGCCTCGGCTCAAACGAGCAAGCCGCCACTGACTGCCTCCAATGCCCCAACCCAATCGGAGACATCAAAGCACTGGCTTGTGCTGTTGATTGGAGTGAGTCATACTCCCTTCCACACAAATGTCTTTTCTATTTCAGTCTCCAAACTGCGTATCCTCAACAAGACAACCACTACCATTGGAGGACAAACTGTTGATGCTTACACCCTGGAACATCTTGATATTCTGAAGGGAACCCTCGAGATCCCCTCTCTGATGATTGTGCCAAATGGCCCCTGTGGACTCGTGCTCAATGTTGATGCTGAGTACCTCATCTCTGGTATGATCATCTACCAACAATCCATCCTTTTCTAGGTGTTCTGGCTGGAAAGAGCGCTCTTTTCACGAATCTGTGCCTTCAAATCCTCCAGACTGCCGAGCCACTTCTCGACAAGGTCAACAAGGGACTTCTTGGAGAAGTGTCTGATCTTCTCTGCAGTGTCTTTGATATCCTTCCCACGTAAGAATACTAAAGAATGCTCTAGCTACAGTATCCTTTAGCCTTGACACGTGGTTGGCTGGAAATGGAGGTCTTCTCGGACATCTTCTTGGAGCCAACGGAAATCCGCTTCTCGATGGTAAGTAGTTAGGGGGTAGAGAGAGAAATACATGATCATCTTCAGGTCTGATCGGTGGCCCATCTGGAGCCCCTGGTGTTGTTGATGGTCTTCTCCTGAGCCTTCTTAATGGCCGTCTGACTGCTGGACTTCTCGGAAATGCCCTCGACAATAATACTGGTCTTCTCAGCGGTCTGCTTGGTGGACTTCTTGGCGGAAATGGAGGAGGACTTCTCGGTGGATTGACTGGTGGTCTCAATGGTGGAAATGGAGGAGCTGGCGGACTTCTTGGAGGAGTTCTCGGCGGAAACGGTGGAAGCGGACTCCTCGGAGGTCTTCTTGGCCGCAAGTAGATCGGAGCGCACTCCCTACCCTTGTTACCACAACCCTTGTTTGTAATTACATTCCATTGTGGAAAGCCTTTCAATAAATCGTATTTTTAAGTAGCTCTCTAGTTCAAGCAATACAGCACACTACCATACAGTTGCCAGACATTAGCCTCAAAGCTTAGCTCCATGTACATGGCTGTCTAGCGCACTCAGCCAGCCAATTTCGGTGGTGTTTCACTAGTGAGATCGGATCTAACAGAGCAAATTTTTCGGATTGAGGATTTTCGCCTACGGCTGTGGGACAGAAACGCAAAAAAGGGGTGAAGGGAGACGGGGCGGGAGAGAGAAGACACCGCGCGAACTTTTCCAACGGAGTGATCCCGTCACCCGTCTGCTCTTTCGTATCTGATCGTCTGGGTCTGCACTTTCCTGCGGGTGGTCAGCTTGAATGGAGTGTGATCGTCAAAAAGGATTGATAAGTGCAGAAAATCTAGGTTCATTGACGTTGTCTCGCATCTACGCGAAACTTGAAGTCTTCTTCAGTGAGCGGCCGAATTTCCGCATCATGGTACGTTCTCAAAACACGTGGTTGCATTTAAAGAAAATTTTTGAAGAGATTTCCGGTGTCAAATGCTTTGTAGAACTAGTTCAATTTATTCTTGGGGAAGGGTTTATTTTACCTCCCCCCACAGCCGAAGGGTATCAAAATTTTCGGTGTTGTCGCGCTTTTGCAAGGCCATTCCATAGACTGTCGAAAAATATACACAGAATTTTAATCTGAGTCTACAATGATGTAAAATAAAAACATCCAAGCCAAAATCCAAGACAAAAAGCACAGACCGCTCCTAAAACCTATTGTCCGCAAAATCCGTAACTAAAGATGTAGAGCCGAAAATGACTTATAGGCCCTTTTAAGCTGTGTATCGTGACAATATCAAAGATTCTACTAAAAATCCACAGTGTTTTGGTATTTTGCTCTCTCCGCGGTTGGCAACCCATTTTCGGTGTTCGAGCCGGACACGCGGTGCGGGTAGATTGAAATCTCGACGCTACCAGACGCCGCGCAACCGGATCCCGTCCACCCTTCACTTTGGCCCAGTCTAATGTGCCAAAAACTCGATCCATACTTTTAAGAAAACAAGAAGCACTTCTCGGCACACCTACGTGGGCAATCCGCCGATTTCTTGCGCACCAGAGAGCACAATTTATTGTACGACTTCATCGGATACGATCTGCTCAGTTTGGGCTTGGATTTTCGAGACGATTCTTTTGTGACTTGGGCGGAAGCAGGTCGGTCGCTTCGCTACAACTTTGACTTCACAATTTGCACTTAGCCTAGATTATACTTGGCTTAGCTCCACTGTTAGCTGAACCTAGGAGTTTTTATGATAGTTAATGCCTCCTGTGGAATAGAGATTATAGCAAAAACTATCTATAACAGTTTTAAACGAGTAAATCAACTATTGCTTTAATGAAGCCCTAACCTTCACAAATAATTAATGACCAAAAAAGCGAGGTCCGTACTTGACGTTTTTTTAAAGTTAAACCATGTCATTTGGCAAGATACGTAGTCACGAGCATTTTTTTACAGCTATTTGATACACCTCAGCATATGGGTCCTTAACCCCACTACCATCCTATATCAAAATGCGACTATTGGCCAGGCGTGTCCTTGGAATTTTCCTGAAATACTTCGATCCGCGGAATAAAACGAGGTAAGCTTTGGGTCATACAACGCAACAAATGTTTTAGTTTTCACCTAGTCTTCTTCTTGGCGTTAATGTTTGCTCTGTTTTTTGTACTGCCAATTTTTATACGGTACGGTGGCTTTCATAGCAAATTCTCATTTATCCAGGCGTAAACCACGTCCGGAGCCCGATCGATTCATTCAAGGGCCCTATGATGCGTTTCTGATCTCAGCATATTACTATCCAAATTCGAGCAGGTAAGCTGTAGGGATCTCACGCTAACGAGTAAAATTGTTGCGCATTTTTTAGGATAGAATACCTTGTTTTTATTTAGCCTTGGACCAAACGCTGTCGCGCTAGTTGTCACGGCTCATGTAAATTCACAAGAATTGAAGCGGCTACAAATCCTGGGATGGAACAGCACCGGGCATAACTCATATGACTATCCCTTTTACGACAGGTTGGCGAAAATTGTATTGTGCAAATTTTTAAACTAAAATTCATCCTATTAATTGAAAAATCCTATTCTAAAAGTGATTTCTGTACTCAAAAGCTTTTTGAAATTATAATATTTTCGATGTTTTCTTTGCCTTTTTAATGGATTTGCTTTAGGATGATCCCTCACAATGTTTGCAAATGGATATCCTTTGAAATTGTGGGCACTACGCTTCCGAATATGACGCAGCTCGCTGTGGGACTAGGTGATCGATATGAAATGGTAAGCTAGTAAGAATACAACGTCGCCTAAGCCGAAGCCTCAACCTCAAATTTTGGAAATTTTATCAAACTTGCCTCAAAATCACATCGCGTTAAAAATGGTTTTTCCGGAAGGATTCCAGAAATTCGCGTTTGATAGCTCATTCGAAAGAGCATCTGCTTCGGCACCGGATGTGCTAACTATTTTTGGCCGAATACTTTCTCTCGAATTTTCCCTGGAGAATAAACCTTGCGATTTGGAGCATTTTCGCCGTAAAATGCGCTGTAGCTTTTTCAAAATGCCGATTAAGCAAATTTGGAAACCGGGTTCGGAATCAGCGCAAAATTCAGCACAAGACAAGATAGGCTCAAAACTGAGACGTCACTCAAAAACGTCTCCTTGGAAGTTTGAGCACAACCGAATCCCTTCACCAAGCTAGTCTAATTTGTTGCTTGCAGATCCCCTACCGTATCCCTAACTACCGAAAACACGGCGTCGTCACCTGCATCGCACCCCTTTATGCAAATGAACAATGGCAATATGCCCTTTTTGCGGCCCATCTTTATCGAAGGTGCGGTATCCCAAAAATAATGAAAACCATACCTTCAGGTACGGCTCGTTTTTACAACTCTACGTTAGAAGCATGATTCACCCGCTTTTCGAGATGCTAAAGGTGCTGTTATTTCACTAATTAATCAAGGGTAACGTTTTCCAGATCTACGAAAGAGAGGGCTATCTTCAAATAGACCCTTGGATGCGGGTTAAGTTGAAAACGGTTCGGAAATAATTTTGTTCTTCAAAATTTATTTTTATCAGGTTCACGAGGCCTTTTTCAACCCTAACCTTCATGTCGAATTCCGAAACCAAGCAGCCGCATACACGGATTGTTTGCTGCAATATAAAGTAAGCATCCTTACGTCCAAAATATAGTATTTTATATGGTTTCTTTTCCTGCATTGAGATCCTTATTATTTTTAATATTCGGCGGCCTAGGATGTTTTATTGTTCTTTTGTCATTTAGGAGTCTGCGGAATTTATCTCCTTCATGGACCTTGATGATGTGCAAATTCCGAGGATCGGCAAGACATATTTTGGTAGGTTTTAACAATTTACGGAATTACAGAATATGCACAAAAAACAAAAATATTGATGTTTGTTGCCCCTTTCAGAGGAATACTCGCACTATTTCTTCGAAAACCCGATGACCTCCTATTTGCACTACGTCAAAGAAGCCGACCAGGCAGCTAGACGTAGGGAAACGTAGTCCTTTTTGAAACCTAGTTTTTAGAAATAATGATGGACGATTTCACGATGTCTCAAATGTACACCGGGATCGTGTATAGTTTTGGAGCTCAATATTCAGAAAACTTTAGAGATGTTCTGCCCAGCATGGAGGCCGGACGATTCGTCGTTCAGCCGAAGAATATTAATTTCACCTGGGTGCACTTTCCGTTTTCGGTGCTCGAAGACATGAAGCGGTACTTTAGCGGACAACTAGTAATGATTGTATCTTATGGCTTCAGGTATGATGTTTCGAGCGAGGAGAATTTCGTCGCGCGTCTGAAACCCTTGGAAGAATACCCATTTACTAGTAGCCAGGTGGGTTACAGAGAACAGTTAAAGCTGAAAATGTCGTGGAAATTGCTTAGCGAAGTTGCTTTTACTTTTTCCTTTCCTTTTTTCTTTGCAACCTTTCCACACTTCAGGGCATCCCGCAACTCTTCAGCCGTAAGGGCGGAATGTTGCGGAAACCAGACTTTCTACCGGCCGAGGATGCGAATTGGCTACAGGTTTCATTCAATCAAGTCACTCCTCATTATTGCGTTTTCAGGCCGACCTGAAGCGGATGTTCAAAAACCCGGAGATCCGGGCTATCTGGTCGCGGATGCCGCAGGATCAGTTCTACCAGAAGTTGCTGACCAGTTGTTTTCACGAAAACTATTTTCAGTAGGTTTTCGGGGTTTTCGGGATGTTGTTTTGAAGGTATTGAAATCAAAGCTTCTAGGGGTAAGACTTTACTCTACCCCCCCCTCCGTCACAGCCGAATGGTCTCAAAGTTTTCGGTATTTTCGCTTATTATGTCGAAATTTTTGCAACGGCACTCGATAGAGCTTCGAAAAATATACTAAGAGTTTTAATTTCAGCCTACAATAATCAAAAATAAAAAAGTTATAGCCAAAACATTTCGGGTGGGCGGGGGGGGGGGGTAAAGTAAAGTGTAGCCCTTCCAGGTGTTATTATTAGGGGTAAAAAGATTCGCTCGAATAGTTAGTATCGTTTCAACTGGGTTTTTATAGTTTATTGATGCTATCCGGATTGTTCTACCAATTTAGCGTTTTCCTTACCTTTTGCCTTTTTGTTAAACGTCAAATGCCAACCGTTTATTTTTCAAGTCTTTTAGAAATGGATTATACGCCATTTTTCGGTATTAAAATCATTCAAACATTTTTTTGATGGGTTTTTCAGGCACTATTTCAACAGCAAACCTGAGAAAATGACGTGCCCAGGGCCGGAGCGATGCAATGTCAGTGATTCTACAATTTTATATGCTCTAGACGCCTTTTTTACGCTCGATATTCTGGATTCTATCCGCCTTTTTGCAGTTCCCCAAGAACCCTGGCATCGAGTGCGTCAACGCACACGGAGAATACTATTCCACCTCCGGCAACCAGCGGATGAACATCCACTACGCAACACAAAGCCACTTTCGGGTCGAAGACGGGTGCACACCATAAACGGTTTTTAGCTTCTTTACATTTTTTGCTTGTTTTAGGTTATGATAAATCGTTAATTCACACCTCAGCCTGAAAAATTTCCGGCAAAGAGTTCGGTTGCCTGCCAAATTATACTATTTTAGAGACTCACAGTTGGTCATAATGAGTTTTTAGTAATATTCAAATAAAAAATAAGTTTTGAAAATATGTTTGGTCACCTGGTTGGCAAGCGTTTTGCTTTTTTGGCATCTGAAAAGGCCATCCTTCAGGGCACCGAAAAATATACTGGAGTTTTACTTACAACTTCAAACACAACTTTTCACGAGGTATTTTACACGAGTTTTTCGGGGCGGGAAGTTAATTTCGGCATTTTCGATAGTATTACCAAAATTTTTAACGCCTCTACATATGTCGAAAAACTAGCTTTCGGCTCTACGCTACATAAGAAACCATGTTTACGCCTTGTTTTTCCTATAACATTTTATATTAGGCTATTTTGAGATGAAATTAAAACTCTCAGTATATTTTTTGATGATCTATCGAATCGTGTCTTCAAAATATCAAAAAACCAGCGAAAATATCGAAAACCAGCTTGCTATTTTTGATGCTCTATCGAGGGGCAAAATTGCAAGTAGTGACAATATCGAAGTTCTGCCCAATCAAATCCCCCGCCCAGTTTTTTCCCCCAGCTTGAAATACAACAGAACCAAACCGGCTTTAACTTTGTAATTTGTAAACTTGCATTTTATCGCAATTATGAAAACTCCATCGGAAAAAGGAGGGTCGATTCCCCAGGGTAAAACTCCCAAACCGTTTTTCGCCCAACACCAACAAAACCACTTCCTACAGCGTAGCAAGACTGTAAAAGCTACCCCATCCGCAGCTACCCCATACTTATTACACTCCTTATCAACTGTTGGCATCCTCCGGGCGCGTAAAGAGGATAGAACGGCCGGTCTCAGCGCCGCGCGCTCGGCGCGTTCGAAAGAGCGTCGAGCCGGCAAAGGCGTGTGCCTGCGGAAATTTTCGATCCAATTGTTATCACGAAAGGCGGGAAGGGCACACAGTCTGTATGTAGGCAAAGGGACCGGGGTCAACCCGCTCTGAATCACTTCTACCGCTACCGTCTCCTCCCCTAATTACGACACGCTCCTCATTACGACAGAGTCAACGGAAAGTTGACGGTGCTACAGTAATTATGTGGCTGTCCTTTGCGGTCATTCTGGCTGTGATTCCGCTGTGCGTAACATGTGAGTTGTGGTTTTCCATAGCTTGCCTAATTTTGCAAAATTACCTACCCGTATTTTTCAGTACAAGACGTCGATTTGGATCGAAATATCAATGATATTGTGGGTGGCAAACCAATTTTGTGTTACTTGCTTTGTTGAAGCCTCTGCTTTTTGTTGAGAGAGAGAGAGAGAGAGAGAGAGAGAGAGAGAGAGAGAGTAGAGGAGAGTGAGCAAGGATCAAATAGCTTGCTAGTTTTTGCAAAAGCCTAACAAGCACAACAAAGTGAGCCGCTTTATTTTCGAATCCGAAGAAGTCATAAATTTTCTTACAGATCGACACCGGTTTTGGCCTCCAATATTGTCGCATCCCAAAAACAGGCTCAACAATCACCTTGGCAATGTTATGCGATGTTCAGCGTGATTTCCGGGGCATCAAATACAAGCAGCGGCTAAACAACACGATCAAGGGGATTGATAAGTACGTTTACACATCCGCCAATGCGTATCGGCCAGTACGCCGCCCTAATTACGTAACAGCTAATTTTTAGTCGCATAGCAGCTTTTTAAGGCTTTGGAAAATAAAAAATGAACTTGAAACCCTGAGATTCCCGCTATTAGAATCACCCAAAAAGTGAAAAGCAGCCTTGGTTCGGTAGGTCTCCTTTTACCAAATGATCAGTTGATAGCTCGACCTGTGCCTTGCTCACTCCTTTGAACATTTGATGCTACCGCAACCCCTTCAGTCCCTGCTGGCTACACAAAACCCGCTTCCGAGAGCATGGCGTGGAGAAATGGCATAAACCGATCAAGCCGCTAAAATTCACGATCATTCGCGAGCCCGTGGATCGATTCGTGTCGGTGTATCAGCACTTTTGCTTGTAAGTTTTGAACCTTATGGAACCCATAAAGAAATTTAAAAATAGCTCCGACAGCGTTAGACTGTTACTTTAGACGTCTCGACCAGTGTGGTGACGTCGGAATTCATCGATTCGCGCAAGATCTTTATGATAGCCTTCATGGAAACACTAATTACATCCGGGAACGACAGATCCATGGTCATACGGTACCACAGAGCAAGTAAGACGAGTGATCGAGAGAGACAGAGAGAGAGAAAGAGAGAGAGAGAGAGAGAGAGAGAGAGAGATAGAGATAGAGATAAAGAGAGAGAAACAGAGCGAGCGAGTGAGGTATAGAGAGTACTAGGAAAGGATTTTTGAACTTTTAGCTACTGCAACATGCGTGATCGTGTCCAGGATATGATGCTTATCCGCTATACAGACAACAAGCCACTTTTCAAGAGACGTCTGATGAGCGTGCTGAAGAAAGCGAGGGTTCCGAAGGAGAGCATGAAGAAGGTAAGAGGAATTTCTCAGGTGACCCCCCCAAAAGGCGAAAAAAAGGAGGGTTGAATTACTACCATAACGGAGGGGGGTATAGAATATAATGGAAAATGCGGCTCGCGGAACAAGCCACCCGATCGCTCCGGCCGCCCTGATATAGGTTATCATCTACTACGGTATGGCAAGACGCGTTGTGTACAGATGTTTATCAACACCAAGACTAAATGGAACTGAATCCAACAGCCCGGTTTCCAGGCACTACGCCACATTGCCCTTGCCACCACGGCTCACGCGGCTGATGATGACGATACCAAAGATCTGCACCGTGCCCTGCGGAATGCCCCTGAGACTTTGAAAATCATTCGGGCAATCTACCGAAAAGACTATGAGATTTTCCGATTTCATTGATTCTAGGGATTGACCATTTGCTATTTATTTTTAGGCTTTGAATAAATATATATTACTAATTCCTTGGTCCAGAAAATACAGAGTAAGCAACCATGCAAAATCTGATCGAATTCAGTTAGTTAAGTCATTACTTACCATTGACCTGTACTGGGCGGAACCAGGCTAGATGTGAACAATCGGGGCATGAGAAGTGCACCGGTGGTTTTATGGTTCTTCGAGTGAGAGTGAGAGCGAGAGAGCGAGATTGAGAGGGAGCAAGAGCTCCCAGGAGAGCTAGAGTTTGTATCAATTACTCGCCAATTTTCTTCAACTTTCCGTTGATCTCCGCCACCCCGCAATCAGAGCACAGAAAAAAATGTTGCAGCCAGGTCGCGAACTTTCCATCGTATCATTTTGTCATCGTATCAGGGAGCGGGGAGCATGAGACAAGTTCTAAAGGTTCGCGGTGGGTTGAGATCGAAAGTCGGTGCTGATCTTTTGGAGGGTTGAGAGTAGGGTGGTAAATCAGGGACAGAGGGCGCGGCTGGCTGCGTAACAAGCTAACGAGGAGACGTTTTTGAGTGACATCCCAGTTTTGAGCATGACCAAGTCAACTTTGTGCAGAATTTTGCGCTGATTCCGAGTCTGTTTTCCAAAATTTTTCTCGGAATTTTGAAAAAGTTACAGCACATTTTTATGCTCAAAATCGCAAAGTTTAGAGTCGTGTAAAAATTCCAGAGAAAATAGTTTGTCGACAGTATTCTTAAACTTTGCGATTTGGAGCATTTTTGTCCTAAAATGTGCTGTAGCTTTTTCAAAATGCCGATTAAGCAAATTTGGAAAACGGATTCGGAATCAGCGCAAAATTCTGCACAAGAGAGGCTAGGTTATGCTCAAAACTGGGATGTCTATCAAAAACGTCTCCTTGTAAGCTAACAAGAAAAATTAAGCTAGAGAGAGAGAGAGAGAGAGAGAGAGAGAGAAAGCGAAAGAGAGAAAGAGGGAGAAAAAGAGCGAGAGATTGAGAGAGAGAAAGAGAGAGGGTGCCAACAGGGATGGAGGATGAGAGAGGTGCCATAGAGAAAAAAAGCATTACAACGAACTCCTTAGCAACGAACCACAAATTATTGCTGCTTGCTTTAATTTGTGCAGTTTTGTGCTGCCACCTTAAAAGGGCTCGGAAAAAGGCGACAGCAGGCCTTATAAAGCCTCCTTTTTGGCTCCAACCCGCTGGAACCGCTAGCCAACAAACGTCCAGATCTTATAAAGCCCCCATACCGGCCCGATCTTTATATCAGCACCACTTTCCCCGGCCATTCTATCATGCTTTGTAAGACCTTTTGAACTGTGGTGCTCCTTTTCTGGGCTTGTCATCCGGCTACATGTTACGACCATGTGCTTAACCAATTTTGATTTGCCAAGCGCGCGGTATAAGGGGCAGGCAAGGGGGATACGGTAGGCCGCTCGGACCATGCTGTCGCTGATCTTTCCCCTATCAGCACTTGTTGCTCTGGCTACGGTATTCAAGGGGGCTCGTAAGTCAGAAAAATTTGGAATTTACCGCTTTTAGTGCACAACATTAACCTTGGGCTGGATGTGGGCAGTACGGTAAGCTTGGGTTTTAGTCATCTTTCCTAAAAGTCATCTTTCCTAAAGTCATCTTTCCTAAAGTCATCTTTCCTAAAGTCATCTTTCCTAAAAGTCATCTTTCCTAAAAGTCATTTTCCTAAAAGTCATGTTTCCTAAAAGGCATTTTTCCTAAAAGTCATTTTTCCTAAAAATCAATATTTCTCAGTTGGTTTTTTTGCAAGAAAAATTTATTTTGGAGAGGCCCGGGCCGTAAAATTTTAATGTCTCCATGCCGTACTAGACCTTTTCGGGATGTTTTGATTTAAGTTATGCTATCTTTGAATTCATAAAACTATTCAGAAATCAAAAAATAGGATAGGCTCCGATGCGACTAAGAGCTTTTATGAGGACTGACGGCGTTCAGGGCATTTTGCCGTTTCTACACTGGAAGCAGGTTTCAAGTTAGGCGGAGGTGGCATCCCTATTCGCATAC